TTGGCCGTTTGCGCCAAAGGTCAAGTTTATGTGACATATGAGAGCTTTTTCGCGTACTTCAAAACAATTGCCCAAAGATTTGATTCAAACTTCTTAAAGTACATTGTTAGAACTACAAAATATCCAGATTTCATGAGCTTTAAAGGTTTCGCAAATTCGCAGTTAGCCAGTTTGTTCACCCTACTTTTTGCGACTTAAAATACATCTCTAGGGAAAATAACGCTTTCAATATGTTTTAATCCGTTAACCACGCTCAAAGTCACGCTATTCATAAACAAAGTGTGGTGTTACAAAGGCTCAAAGGTATTTTTCTGTTTGCGTTACTTGGTGTTTATTTAGAGCTTCATAAAGTCGAGCCAAAATCGACAGCGAATATCGACATTTCGAGGTGCCTCTAGAAAAAGTCGATTTTCTCAGTTTTATTGCAAAATTGAAGCAAACCAAATACATAGGGATTCTTAGGAAACATTCCTCTACCTACCTACAAAATATGAGCGAAATCGATTTTTCAGCCGTTGCCAACATTTGTTCGATCTTTACAGACATCCACTCTTAAGTCTTAAGGTCAAAAAAATGCTTTATATTTCAGTAGAGTGCATTCATTTTATGGGTAAAATACATTGAAATTAACTAAAATAATAACATTAATACTTTGACTTGACCAATGTAAGTTCAACAATATTGTGTTATACATGGGTGCATAATTAAATATTTTGCAATAGGTTTCATTGAATAATTTTATACATCTAAAAAAAGAAAAAAAGTATTTGTATATATTAAGTTATAGTTCAAAGACTGTGCTGGTTCACAGCAGAGTAGAATCAAGATATGTATTTAAATTGTTAACATTTTATAATTGTCTATGAATAAAATGCAATTGATGATACAATGTGTATGCCAATGAATGTGATATTTGTTGGGAATATAGTTTGATGAAAGTAATGTGAATATGATATTTGCTACAAATTTCCTGAACAAGTAAACATGGAGTGAATTTCATATATTATACAATAGTGAATATTAAGTGAATGATGACTTCATCACTATAGTGAAAATGATGTGAATATGATATTTACTACATATTTACTGTGTTGTGCACATGGAGTGAATGACAAATATGACATATAGTGAATATGATGTGAATATTAAGTGAATTACAAATTCATTACTATAGTGAAAGTGATGTGAATATGATATTCGCTTGGTTAGTGAACATGTAATAAATTCCATATATATCACTCATAGTAAATATTGTGTGAATATGATGTGAATATGGACTTCATCAATATAGTGAAGTTTATGTAAATATCACATTCAAATATATGTTGAATATGAAGTGAATTTAGTACTTCACAATAGTAGTAAATAAAAGGAGAATATGGAATCCTACATAGATTCATGCTGGTAGTGAATATAAAGTGAATGAGTCATTCACTCAACTTTCACACTGTATAGTGAACATATGGTGAATGTGGTATACACCATATTCACTACTATAGGTGAATGCTTAGTGAATATGATATTCATTCAATGGTGAATATGAGTGAATGTGTGTGAATATGGTATATGCATCATATTCACACCACATTCACAATAGAGTGAATCTGTTTTTTCATGCAGTGATATATTGCATGTCACGTGACAGGCTTAAACAACCCTATCCATCATACAATCATGACATTATAAGCTATAATTTGATATAAATTGATCTTTTCACTTCAACAGATGCAAATCCACCATTTTTTTGGACTGCGGTTATTGTCCAATGTTAAAGTTTTTCATATTTTCCCATAAAATGCCAAAAAAATATAATTTCCCTCAAGTATTGGTTTTATCATGTATCAAGGAGCTGTCTGATACATATAATAAAAGAAATGTGCCTATCGACCCATTTAGGATGGATACTTTAGCCATTTTAAAATTTACACAGGAAGCCCAACGGCAGATATATTTGACTGCTGGTAATTTCCATATATGGGATTTTCTGAAATGTCCCTACCCCTAAAATTACTCATTATGGTGAACTCTAACTTTGAGCAAAGTTTCATTCTTCTATCAAAAAGTGCACGATCTAAGCACATAGCAGCTGGACTGCACAATAGAGCAAGAAAGCTTAAAACTTCCACATTCAAATGTAATGAGTCACAGATACCAACAATAGATGCAGATGAGCTTGCGTTTGCTGAGCAACTTGCTCATTTTGATGATTTTCTTGAAAACGAAGATCTGGATGTACTTTTAAGCTTAAAAGCTTTCTGAGTTAGCAATTTTTTCACCACAAAAAACAACAGGATCTTGGAATTACTAGTGGGAATGTCATCATAAAACAAGATTAAAAGAACTAGAAGTTATTCAAAAGTGGAGTGATTTTAAAAGGTATGAAATAATTTTTCTACATAAATTCAATATTTTATGATAATGATTAGACATCCAAGTTAGTAGCTCGCTAGTTAATCAAAACACATAACAAACATATTATAAAACGATTCTAAGACTTAATGCAAGTAAAAAGTTAGAAAGATTTGTGGAAAAGAGGAAAATAACAGTTTTTCGCCACAGCGATCCAACAAATTTGATAAAATCATCCCTATATAGATCACGTGACTTACTTTTTGAGGCAAGTGTCAATAAAATATCTTATTTACTTCTAGTTTCATGTATTTCATGGGAAAATACTTGAGTTGAGATGTTTAAGCGAGTTTTATATCTTGAGCCTCGTTTCGATGTGAGAGCATACTCAGTATTCCCCATCAAGTGTGATTTCGAGTTGGCTCCATATCCAGAATTGTTCAGGTCGGCGAACTTAATAAGCCTGCCAAGTTTCATACTTTTATCATAAATTTGAACAATTCTGCCATAAACAGCCGTTAATTGACATTGCAGCGTAAATCTAAAATTTTCATTTTTACCCCTTAAGAGCGACTGTCCAGAAAAATCGAGCAAAATCGAAAATATCCYGCCACAATGAAAATTTCAAATTCCTTGAAACTCAGATCCTGGACACCTTTCTGTGAGTCTACTAACGTGGTCTAATCGGTTTTTTTCAACGTTGAAAAATTTGAGTTTTTGAGCAAAATTGGTTTTACCCCGATTTGGTCTAAAATTAGCATATAAGACCGCTAAAACTTGCAACTTTTTAAAAGTTATTTCTTCAATCGATTTAAATATTTTTGCGCAATTTTTTTACATAATCCGAAAGAATACATCCTAAGGAGTTGCCCGGAATCGGTTTTGGCTTTTCAATGTATTTTTAACGGGGAGGAAAAATGACTTTTGCTTGGCCGGTTTTCAAACCTTGATTTGAGTTGAYATTTCCGAACACATTTTTCTCCATGTGGCCATTCTCCAATTTTTACCAAACTCACCCTGAATGAGGTTGAAATATCAATATAAATCGAGGTAGAAAAATATTTCTGGGTTTTTACACTAGTAGTGCGATAGGAGCGATCAAATATCACGATTTTTTGACTTGCAATATGCAATTTGGCATTTTGTTTACATTTATTCAGATAGATCATTCGAATGAAATTTTTTCTCAAACATCGAAACCAACRAAATARAWCATRTGATCGAATTAAATGAAGTAATTAGACACTTTCAAACAATAAAAGCGACTGTATCTTTACCTTTAGTCCCATATTTCCTTCTGACGGTTTCTGTGATGATCATTCCAATAGTTGGCCACTCAAAAATTCTCGAAATGAAACTATACTATTATTTTACATGATTGCTATAGAAAAATACAGCTTTTTAAAGCAGTAAATATGCTAATAAGTAAAAGCGCAAACGTTATAAAGGAATTTAAGTCAGTTGTTTTATTATTAGCGGGCTAGATAACCAGCTATAGTTTTACCTTTTTTCTGTCGGGTCCCAGTTTCCAGTCTCTCTCGAACCACAGGAAGCCTATTAGTTTGCAGTCTCTCTCGAACTGAAAATTTTCTCAAGAATCCAAAATGGCGGGTACTTCGCTGATAACAGAGAAAAAAGTACTCAAAAACTATCAACAAGAAATACCAAAAGCTTTCTCATTGAAGAATTGAACTAGGACTTTGCATTTGTGAAGTTTCAAGCTTGCTAGTTATCATTTTAAGACGATTTTGCATCGAAAATAGTCTCGCCTTCCTCACCAGTCCAGCTCGATACAGCTTCAACATGAAATCAGCTCAAAAACTGGCTTTTTTTCCACATTTATAGACAGCAAAAGGTATTCTTCTGTTTAATTGACAATGTTTTTTGTTTAAATTCAAAGAAATTGCTTTAATATCATCGGGGTTTTTTATTAGTTAGAAATGACAAAGTACAAGTTTTGAAATTGAGCTTTGTTTTGCTTCAATTTTTAGATTTCTTTTGTACGAAAGAAAGGCTAATAAAAACAAAATTTAAAGAATGCACTCATGCCATCTAAAATGCATTGCTATGTAAATAATAATAGATGTGATATCGCTAATAGTTATAACCAAGAAGTAAAGAGCTTCCATAAATATTTTTACAAAATACATTGCAAATGTAGGACAATCACTATAGCAAAAAGATTATGGTTGATAGTTAATATATGATAAGATTATAGCAGACAGTGAAGGTTAATGATAAGAATTGAACTGCAAAGAAAACTAAGGTATTCGAC